ATTTTATCTCTGAAGCAGACGACTTCTCAAAAATTGTAGACCAGTGTTACAAATGTATATGGTATTCCAAATAAATATGGTGCCCCCAGAAACTGTGCTGGTGGGGCATATACAAATGTTGGTAGTGATAAATAGTTTCAATTGATGGAAAAGGACAAGAGTTCAGAACCAGCTCACCAAAAAGTCACATGCTTTTAAATATCTCTCCTTTGATTCGTGTTGGCATAGGCAGGACTAATATTAAATCATAGGCAGGACTAATATTAAATCAAAGCTGTTTGGCTCTTCTCATGTCTTTTTGTGTGCTGGCACAAAACTGAAGAGACTCTTGCACTTTATAGATTTTTAGTAAATCCTGAAGAATGGAAAACAATGTCAGGAAATTAAGAAAGTTTGGTGGCAGTGTTGTAAACACTGGGTAGCATGTATGTGCAACAGCATCCCCCTGCTGGATGGAATCAAATCTACTCTACTATATCATAACTAAGGCTAAAACTTTGTCATGGATATTTTTAGTAAAAGTCACGGACAAGTCCCGGGTAAAAAAGAAAAATTAACAGAAGCGATGACCTGTCTGTGACTTTTACTAAAAATATCCATGACAAAATGGGGATCTGTGGGTTCCCACGCTGTCTGAAGTGGGCAGCTACGGAGGGGCTAGGAGCTGCCTGCAGTAGCTGGGGGCTGTGGGGTTCCCTGCTGCCCACGGCGGCCGGGAGCTCTGGGGGTTCCCCCACTACTGGCAGCTCCAGGGGCTTCTGCCACCTGTGGCCGATGGGAGCTCTGGGGTACCCCGCAGCGGCTTGGAGCTCCGGAGCCTGTCAGAGGCTGTGTGGGTACCCCGCAGCTCCCTGCCCCTGTGGGTGGTGGGGGACCCTGCAGATCCCGACCACTGCAGGCTGAAGTCACGGAGATCAATGGAAGTCACGACCTCCATGACTAAATTGTAACCTTAATCATAACCTTTATATTGCTAAAATGTTATCCTCTAACTCTAGAGAGAGAGCCAACACATTTGCAATAGAAAGACTTGAGTTCTATCCTTGCTGCTACCGTGTGTTGTGCATGTCCATCGATTTGTTACATTTATTATCTCCGTGGTGTGACAAAGGAATTGACAAAATACATGATTAGAAAGTAGAATGTAAAAAAAACCAAAAAACAAACACTAGAGCTCGCTGATTCCATTTCCTCATTAAAGAGGTGAATTATCTGAAAGTATAGAGAAAAGGCAATAGTATTAACTTTAGGATTAAAAGATGTTATATCAGCAGGAGAATTGTCTGAACTGCATAAATATATGCAGTCTAGGAAGAAATGAGGTGCTTAACAGAAAATGTAATTGAAGTTTAAAAAAAATCTTAGTTTGACTAATGTCAATTTAAATTATTTGTTTTAATCTCACAATAGTGGCATGAGAGTGGATACTAAAGAAAATCTCCAGAGAACAGCATTTTCCTCCAAAAGGGCCTTAAGAGTAGGCTTTTCAAAAATATCTAAGGGCCAGTTTTTAAAGGTATTTAGGCACCTAAACATTCAGACAAGTGCCTTGTGGGATTTTTCAAAAGGGAGTTCGGTGCCTAGATGCTTGGAAAATCCCATTAGGTGCCTGTCTCTATCTTTAGGCACATACACATCTTTACAAATCTGGCCCCGAAGCACAAGTCTCATCCAAAATCTGTGGACTGTTAACTGCAGACCAAGGCTGGGGAAGTCAACATACTAGGGGCTTTCAAAAAATAAAGGAGGAAAAATCATTGGACATAGTAGTTGGAGATGAATTCAACACGTTACTGTATGTTGTCTTAGACAATTTTACTCCATAATGTGATGGTGAAAATACTGTCTTCCGAGAAGGGAATCTTAATTGCACCAGCATCTTTAGAAAAGTCTGTTCCTAAAAGAGAACTTGGTGCTGGTGAAAGGTGTGGGTAGCGAGTTTTGGTGGTTGAAGTCCCACTGTCCACAGGACACTCAGCAGCAAATCAAGCTTCCACTGCCGCACTAATGTGCCTCACCTTGAAGGACCACTTTTATGAGTGAAAGGTCACTTCAGTCACCAATGAGCCATTTAACCCCAGGTCTCTCTTTTGAGACTGCCATACAATATAGCAGTTGTGCTCACGATTGGTGTGTTGCAGAACCCCTGTCCTCCAGGAGCTGGTCTGAGACCAGTAATTCATAGACCACTGAACAGTCTTCAGATTGTAATGAGTTTCTATTGACTTGGGCGGAATTTGAACTGACATCCTATAATAGAAAAGCTCTATATCCAATTTTCCTCAATCTCTGAGATATCCAGTCACCTTTCTCTAATGAGGGGTAGTCAATTATTTTTTTGTCAAAGTCCAAATTTCTTGGTCAAGGCAAAGTCAAGGTCCAGACTCCAGAGCAAATAATAAAAAATAACAACAATAATGATAATAAGTAAATAATTTTGGGGTGTCTTCAAAAGCGTCTGGTGGTCTGGATTTGGCCCGCAGGCAGTCTGTTGACTACCCTGCTCTAGGTAATTTTTTTCCTGCTTTAAAATCTTTGCTGGCCCTCTTTCCCCCTAAGAGATGTGGTGGCCTCTGACCCTTCTTCTTGGTTTGCTGCTGCTCCGTTCACCCCACAAGGCAGCTTTAGAGTTTGGTTTATTCTGAACTCCTCTCCTGTCAATCATTTGATCTGATCTGAATTTACCTGTGTCCTTTTTACCTGGCAAGGGAGTAAAATGCAGGGAGAAACATGACTACAAATAAGTCCTAACTCATGTAAGAAATATGACTGATTAGGAGGGGAGAAGTTGGATTTTATTAATCCTGTATGTACTGTCTCTTTTCCTGTAACAGTGTTTGACTGCAATTTTGAATTGCCTTGCGAGCTGGAATATTCTCCTCCACTGAAGGACAAAGAAAACCACAACAGGACCTGGCACAGAGTGAGTGCAGAGGAGCTAAACTTTTTGGATGGACCAAAGAGAGATCACTCTGAGGATTCACCAAGAGGTAGGATGAGCAAGTGTATTTAGTTTCTTTAAAATAATAGTTGTGTGCTTGTAGATACTACACCCTATACAATGTTTGGGGCAATTCTGTTCCTTTCTCTGTGGCAAGCAACAAGTGAACTTAAGGGAATTGCTCTGTCTGTAGGAAGCAAAATAAGACTGGATTGAAATCCACTTTGGGATTGTAAAAATCTGAACCAGACTGGACTCTGGACATTGCACTTGGAGTTGAATAATAATATTTTACACATCTATAGCACCTTTCCTCTGAGGTTATTGGTGGGGGAGAAAGGATGAATTCTGCTTCGCATCACCCTGGGTATACTGAGGCACATGGAGTTTGATGTGCTCAAAGTCATTCTGGGAGTCAGTGGAAGAGCAGAGAATAAAATCCATGTGTTCTTCATTATTGTCCATTGCTAAACACTAGGCATAGATGTCTTACTTGTAAGCCAGGGCAGACAAATTTCTTGTCAGGATTTAAGATTTTTCCATCAAAGGTATTTAGAGAGAAAATAAATACTAAGCATTTGACATTATCATCAGTAAAGCAATGTATATTTAAATAAAGAGATCTAGAAGTAGAAAAAGTTAAAAGTGTGTAAGTTTTCTTTTCTCCCTCTCAGGGCCGGCTCCAGGCACCAGCTTAGCAAGCAGGTGCTTGGGGCGGCCACTTCGGAGAGGGGCGGCACGTCCAGCTGTTCGGCGGCAATTCGGCGGACGGTCCCTCACTCCTGCTCCGAGCGAAGGACCTCCCGCCGAATTGCCGCCGCAGATCGCGATCGCGGCTTTTTTTGTTTGTTTGTTTGTTTGGCTGCTTGGGGCGGCCAAAACCCTGGAGCCAGCCCTGCTCCCTCTTTTGAATCAAAGATGGCTTCTTTGACCTTCTTGGGTATTTTTTTAATTCTGCTTTTAATCAAACCTGACAACAGCAGCATATTTCATTCAGATTATAAATGACAAAAGGATCAGCAAGCTGCACTTTGCCTTCTTAATCCTAAAAGAGTAGCGGAAAATCCCACCCCCCTTCTACCTGTTGTGGGTACCTGCTTGAAAACTGCCCCTGCTAAAAGTCAGGATGTCATTTAAGTGGCTGGAACCACAAATGGGAGAGGAAAGTAGGGACACATCCAAATAAATGTTGGGGAAAGTTTCCTCTGCAACCTCCCTCTGTATTAGTCTCAGAAAGACATCTTTTTCTTCTGTCTTCACCATGTACTATGCTTTCCCATGTGCTTCCCAAAAAGTATTCTTTATGCATCAGCTTTTAGTGCCTGTTCCTTCAACCTTACTCATGTTGAGTTATCGCATTGATTTAAGAGATTTATCATGGATTGGTAGAAAGACTGGACTGATGAAAGAAATGTCAGGATCAGGACCCCATTGTGCTAGACACTGTACAAACACATAGGATGATGAAGCTTATGTTCATTGCATTTTGTCTTAAATTGGATTGTAAGAAACAATAGGAAGGAAGGGGGGAGAAGAGAAGGAAGAATAGCAGTAATGAGAGCAATTTAAGTAGCCTAGCTAAGTGCAATGCACAAAATAAAGTCCCTGCATCAGAGAGAGATGCACCCAGTGCAGGATGCATTGGGTGCACCAGAAATGGGATGCTTTAGATGAAGGTGTTAAATATTTAAGTCTTCTCCTTTCACTTCTTATGGAAATTCTGACTGAATGGGACTTTAAGAAGGATTAGAATGAGAAAGGTGGTTGCTTGGTGACCTGCTTTGAGAGGAGGTTCCACACCGAAAGGGCAGTGGGGAGGAAGGCATGGAGACAGAAATGGGAGGTGTGATGAGGCTGGAATAGTTGGTGGAGTAGCGAGAGAATGAAGGAACCCAATAGGATAAGAAGTCCAAGATATAGAGAGGGCCTTGAAACCATGAGAAAAGAGTTTAAACTCAGTGGGTGAAATCCTGGCCTTTTTAGGGTATGTCTACACTGCAATTAAAAACTCATGGCTGGCCGGAGCCAGCTGACGTGGGCTAATGGCCTGCTTAATTGCAGTGTAGACGTTCGGGCTTGGGCTGCAGGCTGGGCTGTAGGACCCTGTGAGATGGGAGGGTCCCAGAGCTTGGGCTGCAACCCGAGCGCCAACATCTATACCGCAGTTGAGCAGCCCCTTAGCCCAAACCCAAGAAGCCCAAGCCAGCTGGTGCAGGCCAGCCACAGGTGTCTAATTGCAATGTAGACATACCCATAGAAGTCAATGGGCGTTTCACCCTTGGGTGAAATCCTGGCCCTCATGTCGTCAGTGTAGTTTTCAAGGGAGTAAATTCTCTATCTATGAATGTGTTCTGGATCCTGCTTCTGTGATCATTAAGCTTTGAATAATTAGTAATTGGTCTTTGAAGGATTTCTTTTCATTCTGGTGTAAATGTTTCAGTGTTGGACTGAGGTTTAAAGCCCAACCCGAGCTAGAGGGGTAATGAAGTCATTCGGCTGACATGGGGAGGGGACTAGAGTAGGAGCCTGTGCAGTCGATGGAGTCAGACTTGGATTTGTTTGGGGTTTTTAAACAAATAGACAAATTGAGGGTAGTCAATAATTCATTTTGTGGTGACTCAAGCCCTTGCAGCACCTCCTGAAAAGCCTTGCAGTTCCCAAATGACTGTAACTTCTTTTGCATATGAAGATGGATTTGAAAATTCTACACTCATAGCTTTCTATTTTACATCACTTTAATTACAGCTGCTTGGCACAGAGACATTTTGTGTGGTCTGTTTCAATCTGAAATAACTAAGCACAGTAATTCCAACCCCCACTGTTTGTTTCCTGCACAGCGTACTTCCAATTATGCGAGTCCCATTTCATCTCCATTCATGAACTGTAATGAACAGAAGTAAATAAGCAGATAGCATAACCCGATTTTGAGTCATTTTAACTCATCCTTGTCACTTGACTATCAAGTCATGTCAAGTGAATTTCCTATTAATCAAGACAAATACCCCAAGCCTGCTTCCATTATCCTCCCTTTATGTATAAAGATTAGTAGAAATTCACTGATAATATTTGACACTGAGAAGCAATATTCCCAGCAGTGACTTAGACTCAGTGTATGAATTTGGGCAAACTTCTCGCAACCCTAGTATCCCCTTTTGAAAAATGGAGGTAATAGCATTTATATACATTTTGAAAACATGTTGAGATTCACAGAAGAAAGGTGCTAGTAATTATTAAATGTTATTAATTATTACATTATTAAAACCACCTGAATGGTATACTCTTGCTACAGAAAACTAGTGGATATTTGTAAATGAGGCACCTTTCAGTGTATGTATTAGGGAATAACCGTGGTGCATTACAGTTATATAGCAAGCTTTTCACTAAAGGTTCTCCCCCCCCCCAGTTAGTGGATCAATCAGCCATGTCCAAGACAACGCAATAAGTTGTGAATCTGCCACCTTAGGCCCTGATCCTGCAAAGAGTTATATATATGCTTAATTTCTCCCAAGCAACTAGCTCCATTGAAGCCAATGGGATGTTCACATTCTTAAAGCTTATGTGTAAGTCTTTGCAGGTTCAGAGCCTTATTATATTTAAATTTCAGTAGGAGCCTGATTCAAAGTCCACTGAAGACAATGGGAAAGACTTGCACTGACTTTGCTGGACTCAGGATCAGGCCCATATGCATGTTAGTGACTAGGTAACCTGTTGTGGGCTACCACATTTTTTGTAATTCATGAATAAGAAAATAAATGCCATAAAATATTCAGGAATACTGCATCACAGAAAGTATTCATTTATTTTGACAAGTATGATTAATTTTTAATTATTTATGATACTTCATAATATACTCTACCAGCAAATGTACAGCAATATATTTTGTAGTGAAATATTAGTAATAGATCTTGCTGCAGTGCTATCCCTGCTGTTAAATCTTTGCTAAGAAGGCAGATGAGACAACTAGATTTTTGGTTAAAATGACTGGGTTTGCAGATTAGTGAAGTTCTACTGTATTTGTTTGTTATATCCCAAGTAAAACAGAGAGATTTCTCTCTCCATCAAAAATCAAAATGTGGCCAAACCAGAACCTCTGGATCTGAATTCTGGATCCAGATCCAAGCTTCCTGTGTGTGCCATTCAGACACAGCCCTGAAGTGTGTATGTGTGGGAGAGTTGATTGGGGAGAGGGGTTGAGACTGGGCCACCACATCAAGAGCTCCAGGAAACACTGTACCTCAGGGATGTACAGTGCTTCCCAGAAAGGCACAATCCTTCTGTGTGCCATTGGTATCACCTCATAAGAAGATACTGCATGTGCTCTCCAGATCCAGAAGGAATCAAGGCTCTGCCTTTTTCCAACACCATTTGAGGAGAGGGAGGGTGTATATACTGATGCACTTGCAGGGAGCAATATCTATGTGCTCAGAGTTCAAAGACTACAGTTATGGCTGGCCCATGAGTCAGATGTACAAGGAGAAAGCAAAGATTCCTTGCAGTTCCAGTATTTCCACTGTGCCTTCCCTCCTGCTTATCTACCTGTGGAAGAAGGAGCAACAGTTAGATTCAAACAGACAGAATGCAAATTGGATCCAAATTTGTATTTTTTCAAATCTCCAGGTCTTCAGATTCAGATCTATAACAGGTTTAAGCCACAAACTCAGAGATCTGTCTTGTATATGAATAGATTTGGGGGAGACAACCCCGTTTAGATGACTGAGTTTCATATCAAGGTTATACTATATTGGAAAACTGAACAATATTTGAAAAAGTTCCTCCATGGAAATGCGATTACACTTCTATCAGAGGAAGACAAATGAGGGTAATACCCTAACTTATGTCTGATAGCTTGAGGCTACCTTGAATTAGAGGTAAAATAAGAATTAAACACACACACACATTTTATTACTTGAATGATCTTCTTTATCATTGTTGTGGAAATCTGGTAGGTGACAAATCTGAGGAATTGTCACAGATTGAAATGTCATTAGAGGAGGTTTTGGAATTAATTGATAAACTTAACAGTAACAAGTCACTGGGACCAGATGGCAT